AGAGAGAGAGAGAGAGAGAGAGAGAGAGAGAGAGAGAGAGAGAGAGAGAGCTTAATTGTATCCTGTTGTGTTTATGGACGGCATCGATAGCGGTCAGTGTAAAAATTATCACGAGTCTAGTCTGTGGAGTTGATAGGGAAAGGAGGTGTGAGGGGAGGTGATGTGTGATAGGAGGTGGAGGGGAGAGCGGAGTGAAGGAAATGGGGAAAAGTGTGATTGGAGGAAAACATTGTCACAGGAGGAGAGAACGAGGGTGGAGAAAAGGGTAAAAGAGTGTTGATTGGAGGGGAAGATGGGAGGGACTGAAGGAGGGAAAGGGAGGAAGGACCTGCAATTGGATTCAAGGTTGTGGAGTAAAGAGGGGAAGTAGGCATGGTATGAGGGGGTTAGGGAGCTTAAAATGGTGGATATTGGTGGCTGGAGGTGAAATGGGAAAGGAGCCAAGCAGGGGTTAGAGTTGTGATAAGAGGGGAATTGGGGGCGGGGAGGGAAAATGGGTTGAAACTTGAAATGTGCAAGATAGGAGATGAAAAGTGGGTTCTTGAGGACATTCGTTAAAATTGGAAAGATACAGAGAAGATTAGGATGGCCCCTGTGCAAGGATGACATGAAAAAAAAGAAGAAGATGAAAGGCGGGAAAACCCTCAATAGGACAGAGAAACAAGGGAAAGGTCCACGGTGGAAGGGCACAACAGTCCTAATAGCAGGCGGCAAAGCTGCGTCGAGTGAGGAAAGGTAGAGTCGAGCGAAGCGAAAGGGAGAAGCAGTAGCTGCCGGATAGCGAAAGGGGGAGAAGTAGCTAGAATAGGAGCGGGGAGGGATGCAGAGAAATAGTGAAAGAGTCGAAACAGTTGAAGAAATGTTACATTGGGATAAGTGAGCGAGGAAGAGGAGGGGCCCCTGGTGATGAATGGATATGGGGGAAGCGGTGGTTTCAATAGGAGGAAGAAGGGGAATGAGGAGAGGAGGGAAGCGTAGTGACAGGAGGGGGAGCAATTGCAATAGGATGCAGTGGGCATGCGGAAAAGAGGAAAAGAGATTGACGGGAGAGAAAGGAGGAGAGGGAGAAATGCAAGAATTTCCCAACATGAGGAAATGTACGCTCTTGAAAAGGAGCATGCTTGACAGGGTGGGAAAGCCGGGTGGAGAGAGAGAGAGAGAGAGAGAGAGAGAGAGAGAGAGAGAGAGAGAGAGAGGGAGAAATGCAAAAATTTCCCAACATGAGGAAATGTACGCTCTTGAAAACGAGCATGCTTGACAGGGTGGGAAAGCCGGGTGGAGAGAGAGAGAGAGAGAGAGAGAGAGAGAGAGAGAGAGAGAGAGAGAGAGAGAGAGAGAGAGAACCACTGTCACGCTCTTCCTACCTTCCCGTACCACAAGCAATTGCAATAGGATGCAGTGGGCAGGCTGAAAAGGGGTAGCAATTGCAATAGATGCAGGGCCGTGTTGCAATTGCTACCCCTCTTTTCAGCCTGCCCACTGCATCCTATTGCAATAGGATGCAGGGCCGTATCCGCAGCTCGCAGAACCAAATCACGCCAGAATCAGCAGACCGGTATCACCCTGAACTAGCCAAATCACCTAAGGGACCCCAAGCCAACCCAAATTAACACCCCAGTGTGCCTGAGTTAACAGTAATGTCATGGAATGTTAATGGTTTGGCTACAATTTTATCCAATACAGACAAATGGGACAACATGACCAAATACCTCAAGCAGCCAAATCGCTTAACGTATCAGAAGTTATAACAGATGAACAAGAAGGTAGATGGATAGATCTACAGTTCACCTACAAGGAAGAAAGTTTCCAACTAATGAACGTTTATGCCCCTAATGATCCTACCCAAAGACAACCTTCATACGGAATATAGAAGCTAGACGTAATACCTAGAAACACCTCATATTGGTAGGTGACTGGAACACCACACTAGACCCAGATAGAGAAGACACACTTCTTTCAGAGGCACAAGTAATACAAGCACTAATGATGGAAAAGGATCTAATAGAACCACTACGCACAATACAACCAGAATCATACAGATGCACATACAGAAAGAAAAACAGATTCCCACATATAACAAGTTCAACAATAGACAACTTCCTCATATCCTAGACGCTTAGAGGTGCAATCCATGGCATAGGATTAGGAAAACACCCCTACCACAATGGTGTGGACCATACTCCTATCTTTCTTAACCTTCTGTTTGGCACAGGGCTACAGAAAGGGACGAGTTTCTTCAAAATCAACAATTCACTACTGCATACTAAAGAAACGAAAGAAGCAAGCCTATGCATGCATAAAAGAAGACAGAGAAGGTGCAGACTTCCCAACATTAGTCGCAAATCTATCCCAAGCAGCCTCTTGAACCTCTAGGAAAATAGCAGCCAGAAGAGACCAATGGATAGAGGAGTTGGAGGCAGCAGTCAATCTTGCAGAAAGAAACCTCA